TGTGTGTGTGTGTGTGTGTGTGTGTGTGTGTGTGTGCCCAGTCTCTGGGGTGGCACCATCCTGTGTAGGAGTTATGAGTTCCTAATGCCATCTGTTACCCACATGGTGCATTAATATCTCTTACTAATATGTGTGTCAGCAGTCTCTTTATTGCTTTCATAATTCCTATACTATGACTTCCTCAAAGATTAAGAGCAAAACACTTACAGATCTATTTAGACATACAGGTGCATCTCAATAAATTAGAATGTCGTGGAAAAGTTCATTTATTTCAGTAATTCAACTCAAATTGTGAAACTCGTGTATTAAATAAATTTAATGCACACAGACTGAAGTAGTTTAAGTCTTTGGTTCTTTTAAAGTATTCTAATTTGTTGAGATAGTGAGTTGGTGGGTTTTTGTTAAATGTGAGCCAAAATCATCACAATTAAAAGAACCAAAGACTTAAACTACTTCAGTCTGTGTGCATTGAATTTATTTAATACACGAGTTTCACAATTTGAGTTGAATTACTGAAATAAATGAACTTTTCCACGACATTCTAATTTATTGAGATGCACCTGTATGTTTATATTAACAGAAAGGCTCATCAAAGGACAGTCTAATTTTTTACTTTTACTTATCTCGGCAGAATTATGTATAAGTAAGCCATTCACTGACTTCTCAAAGAATCTAAGCACCAGTAATGTGATATTGCATGTGATTCTCTGTGTTTGTGTAGCGGAGACACCCATTGAAGAGTTTACACCCACACCTGCCTTTCCTGCACTGCAGTACCTGGAGTCTGTGGATGTTGAGGGCGTGGCCTGGAGGGCGGGGCTAAGGACTGGTGACTTCCTCATTGAGGTATAGGATTGGTTTGTCCGCTGATATCCCAGATCTTTCTGTATCCACTATTCATCATGTTTCACATATTCAGCACATAAAAATGCACTAATATTTGTTGCAGCTGTGTAATGACATTGAGTCTAGTCTGAGATACTGGGAATGTACCAGAGGGATGAAAAACACTTATGATTTCTCTGTGATTTTTTTCTCTCAGGTGAATGGTGTAAACGTGGTAAAAGTGGGACACAAGCAGGTGGTGTCACTCATCCGGCAGGGTGGGAATAACCTCTTGATGAAGGTGGTGTCAGTCACACGCAAGCCAGAGTCTGAGGAGTCAGTCAGGAAGAAGGGTAAGGTGCTTGTTCACTTCAAACAGAACTGTTCTATCCTAGATAATAAAGGTGCTGTATTTTATTTTGTTTTGTTTTTGTTTTATTTACATTAAATTATTATTATTATATTTTCTTTATTTTATATTTTCCATATTTATTTAAATTTTATTTTTCATTTTATTTTATTTTATGTAATTATAAAAATAAATTATTTTATTTTATTTTATTTTAAATTGTTGAATTTTCCAGCGGTGAAAATGCAAGTATTAATATTATTATTTTTGATTATTTTACATTTTACATTTTCCTGATTTATTTTGATTTTGATTTTTTTATTTCATTTTAAAGTTAAATTGCTGGATTTTTAATTTTAATTTTAGTTTTCCAGCAATCAAAATGCAAGTGTTACAGGGTATGTGACTTAGAAACAAGGTCTGCAGTTTAATATATTGCTTGATTGTAGTTCATATGTGGTGTTGTAGTTGAGTTACATGGAATGTGCTGACTGCTGGTTTTGTTTGTTTATTGTGGGCGGGGCTACTGCAGTCAGACAGAAGAGCTCTTAAAGGCATGGGTTGCTAGGAAACCAGTCTTTGATGCTCTGTACTGTATGTGATGATCAGACAGTGAGAGATTTCTCTCAGCAGGGCGAATCTAGTCTCAAACATAAGCAAAAGAAATGCTGCAAGGATGAATAAAGGAGTCAGTGTAATGGTCATAGCCGATTGTGATGGCGATGGCAATGACTGTGTTTGTCAGAGGAGAAAACTTCAGGAGCATTAACTAAATGACCGGGTTGTTTGTCACAAGGAATTGTGATAACTAAGCAGATTGAAGTGTTTTCTGTGCAGCCTTTCCACATACACACATTTGTGCGTTCCTACACCCACTCAATCGATTAGCAGCTCAATGAGTCTGCCGGTAGAGTTATTAGAACTATAGCAAAACCTCGAATACCAAAGAAGAAGTCGATTCAATATCCATGTAAACTATCCTCACTTTTATCTGCAACTCCCACACACTATCTGAACCCTTCATTGACCTGTGTTTGCCTTTAGTGGATGATGGAACAGCATAGTAAGACTTTTATCCAATACGTCTTACAGTATAGATTGAATCAGGATGGTCGACTATGTTGATCCATCCCTAACTGTAAAGCACTTAAATAAAACAGATAAAATGTAAGTTCTTGTATTCAATTTTTTCCAAGTCTGAATAGATCCATCAGACATTCTTGCTGTCTTTTCAGTATCTCACTCAATGGATGTGTGTAGTTAAATTACTTTATGTTCTGTTGCGTTTTTATTTATTAATTTTATTTTTTATTTTATTGTATTTATTTATTTTTTATTTTATTTATTGAGTTGCTGGATTTCTCACCAAGGAATATTTATTTATTTAGTGGATTTTTCACCAAGGAGTATTATTAATAATAATCCACAGCAATATGCTTTAATGTAGTTCATATATGTTCAAAAATGAGTCTTACAAGTGCAAAATCCATTAACTACACTTACATTTAATCAATGCATTTGGCAGATGCTTTCATCCAAAGCAAATTTTAAAAATCTTTTTTATTTTATTATAATTGTTTTTTTGTTTGTTTGTTTTTTACAAAGTTGCTGGATTTTTCACCAAGGAAAACATTTAACATGCTCCTGAATCAGTTTTTTTATATATTTTTATTTTTATTTTTTATTTTTTAATCAAGTTTGTAGCTTATAAATAAGATCCGCTGCTTAATATATTGCTTAAATGTAGTTCATATATGTTCAACAGCGAGTCTCTTAAGTGCAAAATGCATTAACTACACTTCTATTTAATGCATTTAATTGAAGTTATACACTTGATTGGTTCCTGCATTCCCTAGGAGTCGAACCCATGACCTCGGTGTTGCTAGCAGGATGCTCTAGAGCAGGGTTGTCAAACTCAGTTCCTGGAGGGCCGGAGCCCTGCAGAGTTTAGATTCAACCCTAATTAAACACACCTGATCCAACTAATCAAGTCCTTCAGGCTTATTTGAAAACTACATGGTATGTGTGTTGGGTATTTTATTTTGTTTTGTTTTTGTTTTATTTACATTAAATTATTATTATTATATTTTCTTTATTTTATATTTTCCATATTTATTTAAATTTTATTTTTCATTTTATTTTATTTTATGTAATTATAAAAATAAATTATTTTATTTTATTTTATTTTAAATTGTTGAATTTTCCAGCGGTGAAAATGCAAGTATTAATATTATTATTTTTGATTATTTTACATTTTACATTTTCCTGATTTATTTTGATTTTGATTTTTTTATTTCATTTTAAAGTTAAATTGCTGGATTTTTAATTTTAATTTTAGTTTTCCAGCAATCAAAATGCAAGTGTTACAGGGTATGTGACTTAGAAACAAGGTCTGCAGTTTAATATATTGCTTGATTGTAGTTCATATGTGGTGTTGTAGTTGAGTTACATGGAATGTGCTGACTGCTGGTTTTGTTTGTTTATTGTGGGCGGGGCTACTGCAGTCAGACAGAAGAGCTCTTAAAGGCATGGGTTGCTAGGAAACCAGTCTTTGATGCTCTGTACTGTATGTGATGATCAGACAGTGAGAGATTTCTCTCAGCAGGGCGAATCTAGTCTCAAACATAAGCAAAAGAAATGCTGCAAGGATGAATAAAGGAGTCAGTGTAATGGTCATAGCCGATTGTGATGGCGATGGCAATGACTGTGTTTGTCAGAGGAGAAAACTTCAGGAGCATTAACTAAATGACCGGGTTGTTTGTCACAAGGAATTGTGATAACTAAGCAGATTGAAGTGTTTTCTGTGCAGCCTTTCCACATACACACATTTGTGCGTTCCTACACCCACTCAATCGATTAGCAGCTCAATGAGTCTGCCGGTAGAGTTATTAGAACTATAGCAAAACCTCGAATACCAAAGAAGAAGTCGATTCAATATCCATGTAAACTATCCTCACTTTTATCTGCAACTCCCACACACTATCTGAACCCTTCATTGACCTGTGTTTGCCTTTAGTGGATGATGGAACAGCATAGTAAGACTTTTATCCAATACGTCTTACAGTATAGATTGAATCAGGATGGTCGACTATGTTGATCCATCCCTAACTGTAAAGCACTTAAATAAAACAGATAAAATGTAAGTTCTTGTATTCAATTTTTTGCAAGTCTGAATAGATCCATCAGACATTCTTGCTGTCTTTTCAGTATCTCACTCAATGGATGTGTGTAGTTAAATTACTTTATGTTCTGTTGCGTTTTTATTTATTAATTTTATTTTTTATTTTATTGTATTTATTTATTTTTTATTTTATTTATTGAGTTGCTGGATTTCTCACCAAGGAATATTTATTTATTTAGTGGATTTTTCACCAAGGAGTATTATTAATAATAATCCACAGCAATATGCTTTAATGTAGTTCATATATGTTCAAAAATGAGTCTTACAAGTGCAAAATCCATTAACTACACTTACATTTAATCAATGCATTTGGCAGATGCTTTCATCCAAAGCAAATTTTAAAAATCTTTTTTATTTTATTATAATTGTTTTTTTGTTTGTTTGTTTTTTACAAAGTTGCTGGATTTTTCACCAAGGAAAACATTTAACATGCTCCTGAATCAGTTTTTTTATATATTTTTATTTTTATTTTTTATTTTTTAATCAAGTTTGTAGCTTATAAATAAGATCCGCTGCTTAATATATTGCTTAAATGTAGTTCATATATGTTCAACAGCGAGTCTCTTAAGTGCAAAATGCATTAACTACACTTCTATTTAATGCATTTAATTGAAGTTATACACTTGATTGGTTCCTGCATTCCCTAGGAGTCGAACCCATGACCTCGGTGTTGCTAGCAGGATGCTCTAGAGCAGGGTTGTCAAACTCAGTTCCTGGAGGGCCGGAGCCCTGCAGAGTTTAGATTCAACCCTAATTAAACACACCTGATCCAACTAATCAAGTCCTTCAGGCTTATTTGAAAACTACATGGTATGTGTGTTGGAGCAAAACTCTAGGAATTGAGTTTGACACCCCTGCTCTACAGCATGCAACAGAAATGAACTATCCCTGCAATCAGAGGGAAGTGATGTGTTGCTTATGCCCCTAAGACAGATCCTTACCCTAAAATCAGTTTGTCGATAAGAATATTGTTCTTACTTGACAAAATCACAGTCACCTGCAAAGTTATTGCAGGGTTATTGCATAACTCTGGGGTATGCAAACTACCACACACTCACACACTACTGATGAAGTAATAATAGAGTGTCTGTTGTTAGTTTTGTGGCTATATCCTCCCACACACACATACAAACTCACACACACAGATTCTCACAGTTGAAATGCACAAACCCAGGCCTTGCTCCTGCCAGAGTTGCCATGGTTACTACAATGCATGTTTGAAGTAAGTATTGCATTAGTGCCTTGGTATTTCTCTCCTCGTCTCTCTCTCTCCAGCTCCACTCCAGTCTGCACGGTTGTTAGCTGAAGGAGTGAGGAGTTTTACGCCGATGTTACTGAGACAACAGAAGTGTCTGATTTCCTGGAACTCTGATCGTTTTCTTGTTGCTTCTTGTATCACTGCTTGGGAGTTCATAGCATGCTTTGGACATAGCAGCAGGTTTCGTTTCTGAGAGACAAAGGGAAACTCGGCCACCATTTGGGTTGAAAGAGGCTGAATGTGATATGAAGGATTTTGGGAGACGAGTATTTCTTTCTACCATCGGAGGGCCACCAAGGACGGAAGTTGGTTTCTGGTCGTGCAATTACACAGGAGATGTCTGATAGTTGCATGATTTTATGTTGCATGTCAGAGAGAGAAAGACGGAAGGAGAGAGTTTAATCGTGGTGCGGCTGTGTGGTACCGTGATCTTCAGATGAAGATGGTGAAAAAGCGCTGGCAACTGCCGATGGGCAGCAGCCGTGAAGGCCCCTCGCCACGCCATCCTATTTTCTCATCTACTCCTTGCCTTTCCTCCACAGCGCCCCCACCTCCAAAAAGAGCGCCCAGCACCACCCTCACCCTGAGGTCCAAAAGCATGACCGCTGAGCTTGAAGAACTAGGTAAGACGCCCACAAACAAACACATGCACTATGAATAGTGAATAGTAATAGACACATGCAATGTGAATAGTTTTTCTAAATAGTTTTTCGTTTATAGTTCATCCAAAAATGAAAATTTGCTGAAATGTACTTACCCTCAGGCCGTTCGCGATGTAGATGAGTTTGTTTCTTCAACAGAACAGATTTTGAGAAATGTTGTTCAACAGTGGATCCTCTGCAGTGAATGGGTGCCGTCAGAATGAGAGTCCAAACAACTGATAAAAACATCACAATAATCCACAAGTAATCCACACCACTCCAGTCCATCAATTAATGCCTTGTGAAGGGAAAAGCTGTGTGTTTGTAAAACAACAGATCCATCATTAAGACGTTCAAAACTGACTTCAGACTGTTGTTTCCGGCTAAAATACGAGTCCTATATCCATAATACTACTTTCTCCAGTGGAAAAAGCCATCTCTTCTGACTCAACAAAGAAATATGCACAGACCAAGCTTCGTTTACAAGCGAAAACAGTTCTAAACAGTTCTGAACAAATGTTGGTGGTTTTGATGTAAAAGGACAACAGGGGATTTTTTCACTAGAGGACGTGTTATTATGGATTATGGACATGTATTTTGACTGGAAGCAAAAGTTTAAAGTTAAAATGACTTGATGAATTTGATTCTTACAAACTTGCATCTTTTCACTTCACAAGATGTTAATTGATGGACTGGAGAGGTGTGGATTATTGTGGTGTTTTTATCAGCTGTTTGGACTCTCATTCTGACGGCACCCATTCACTGCAGAGGATCCATTAAAGAGCAAGTGATGTAATGCTAAATTTCCAATGAAGAAACAAATACTGTAATTTACCCTATTGAAGGGCTGCACGTTCTTGGATTCAGTGTGCACTTTTTTAAGCTTATGTGCACATGTAGATGGACATTTTTGGGCAACAGGGTTTCCTTCAAATAGTCAGATAATCATTCAGATAATGAAATAGTCAATTAGGAAAATAGATCGTTTTACACATCCTATTCCCCCAACACATGCACACACACTTGGATGCAACATTTTCTCTCTGTGTTGCTCTTTCTTGTTTATTTATTAACTATGTCATCTCCCTCCTGCAGCCATTTGGGCTGTTCAAAACATCAGCTGTCTTTTCCTCTCTCACTCAATCTGTGCTCTGCGTTTACTGAATTCATTACACATATTCACACTCACGTTCACACACTGAAACACATATCGACAGACATTTGCTGCTGTGAGACTTTAATGGAGAAGTGTTCTGTACATTTATTTCATGCTCAGCCTCTGCAAGGAGGAGAAGAGGAGGTGAGTTACACATTGAGGTTTTTAGAATCCAACAAAATCACTGAAGTACGCAACATGTGTATGCAACCATCTTCACCTTGCTCATGTTGGAATATGATTTATTTAGCTCTGTTCCAAAACCTAGTGAGCTGCCAGTATTTATAGGCATTCCCAACACAAAGGCAGTAAAATTGTGTTCTCCTTTAAAATATCTTGTTTTGGATGTCCCATAATGTTTTGAAAAAACTCAAATATTAAAATTGCTATTCTAAATGTAACATATATTGATTAAATTATTCAAATAAAAAAATATGTGCAAAAATGTAATTGATTAATGATTATTTCATCCAGTATTTCTGTGCAATGTATTTTTCATGCTTATTTGAATTTAACAGTATTAACGTAGCAACATGTGCTAACGCCAAATTGGAAATCTATTGTGAGTTCCACTTCTCATGTGCTTCACACAAGGAATTCTATTTGTTCCAAATGAGTCACTTACAAGGTTCTATTTCCGTTAGGATGCTGCCTTAGGGACTGTTTACACAGGATGCATTCTTGCCTCCATCTGTGATGTTTTTTAATTGTTTTTCTTTGCGAACATGCACTAATGTACGAATGTATCCTGTCTGTGGCACTGCTCAAGTAGACAGTATACAGCCAGGAAGGTCTATGGGTTGGAACCGAGCTTGTCACATACAACTTTTGCCATAAAATAAGGAGCAATGATGCATTGTGGCATTGTGTTAATGTCATTAACATTTCCATTTCATGTGTACTTTGTCTTTTTTTATTTCAAAGCATGTGAACAAATGAGATCCATATGGCAAACTGATGAGCACTATTTGTGTGGGTGTGTATAATGAACATGGTTTTATATGTGTTTCTTAACAGAAAGGCTAGATGAGATTTTGGCCTCTCAGGAGACAGTACTGAGGCCAAAGGTAGAAGCAGACTACAGAGCAGCCACGGTGAAGCAATGTCCTACCAGTCGCCGAATTACACCAGCAGAAATCAGTGTAAGATACAGTATGTCTGCACACTCAGATGATCAGAAAGTGTCCTATTTTAGCAGCATTGACCCAGATACCTTGTATGTATACAGTGGAGTTCAAAAGTCAAAACGTTTCTGTGTTTTACATTTATCAAACTGAAAAACTGGCTCTATGCAGGTTTAATGGTGGTCTAATGTACCAGCAGAGTTTTGCTGTATACTAGCATCCAAAACACAGCTTACTCTATGCTGGTCCTTTCAGCAGGGATAAAGCTTCTCACAAAAACAGTAGCCAGTAGAAACATTTTGTTGAAAATGTGCCAAAATATTTGTGCTTGACCCTTTTAAACATAAATGTTTTCTTTGTGCAGTCTCTTTTTGAGCGGCAAGGACTTGCTCTCCATGGTGCTGTACACCCAGCGTTGGAAAAAGCCCACATGCAGCTGCCAAAAAGCATGGCTAGAACAAAGTCTTTTGGTAATTCTTCAGGAATCTTTTACATACACTCCTCAATTAAGCTCCTCAATTTGAAATAGCAGTAAAGTGCTTGGCTTTGTTCTAGTTTCTTTTATCTATCTGTCCTTTGATCCTCAAATCTGAATGCAATGAAATGCAGAACTTTGACACACAGTAACATTTGTAATGCCAAGAATAAGAGGAGTTGTTAAAGGAAAGAGCAAAGATCAAATCTGTAAAATATTGCATACTTGTTCATCATCAAAGCTCAGCCAAACCAAAAATACATTTTTATAGATCTGTCTGTCTCTCCGTGCAGGAGCAACTGAAGAGGATCGACTGTCTGCCCTGGCAGCGGAACACAGGTTTCCGCGGAGCTCCTCCATGACGGACAGCCTGAGAGACAGCCATAGTATCCCTCCACCTCCTCAAACGGCTCCCCCACCTCCCCCATCGCTTTACTATCTAGATACTGGACCCCCTCCTTCGTTCTGCCCACCCCCTCCTCCTGGCCGCATTCACGACCCCAGCCGTTCCAGTTTCAAACCAGGTTCTGAACCAAGGCTGCACGTTTTGCCACAGACAATGTCTGCTGAGCTGTTTGAGCCACCTCGCCATGCCTCCCACATGGATCGGCAGAAAAAAGCCCGCTCCATGATCATCCTACAGGACTCCTCCCACCTTCCCGTGGAGCCTACTGACATCCCCAGGCCAGGTGCTGTTTCAACTCCACCTGAAAGGATCAAGCGGAAAGGTCGAGTCATTGATAACCCCTATGCCAATGTGGGCCAGTTCAGCGTGGGCCTGTTCACACCGAGCAAGCCACAGCGGAGGAAGAGCCCACTTGTAAAGCAACTGCAGGTGGAAGATGCTCAGGAGAGAGCCTCGCTAGCACTGGCATCCATCCATGCGAGAGAGCACTCTCCCTCTGGGCGCCTAGCTGCCCACCATACCAGCAGGGCTGATTTCTATCAGCAGCAGCATCAGCTGTTGCAGGGACGCAGTCAAGCTCACGCTGAGGGACTGTTGCAAGGAAAGGGACCTTTCGCTGCCGCCATTGCTGTTGCTGTGAAAGACCGGGAACGTCGTCTGGAGGAGAGGCGGAAATCCACAGTCTTCCTATCAGTGGGCACTATGGAGGGCAGTTCGGCACCACCCCCAGAGGCCCCCTCGCTCACACCATCCCGTTCGGTTGATGAACGAATGCTCACACGTGAACTTGGTCAGTTGCCTCCTCCGGCCTTGGCGTTGCGTCCCTCTCCTGGGGGCACCACCTTCATTCACCCACTGACAGGCAAGCCCTTGGACCCCAACTCTCCATTGGCACTTGCGCTGGCCGCAAGGGAACGGGCATTAACCTCCCAGAGTCAGTCCCCTTCAAGCAGCCCTGAGCCCAGAACTAAACATGAAGCTGCTGGAGGGGTGCTGTACATGGAGACCCAGACCAAAGAGGCTGAACGGTCAGAGGGTGAGTTTGCCTCACCTCCCTTTTCCCCTGCAACGAAAATAATTTACGAGACCTCTGCCCCCACCAGCAAGATTCAGTGGGGAAGTCCCATATCCACTAGGAAAGAGTTAGAAACAAGGACAGAAATGAAGGAGGAAAGGAAAACTGAGGACAAGAAGAGTATGATCATCAGCATCATGGACACATCCCAGCAGAAAACTGCTGGACTTATCATGGTCCAACGAGCACCATCTCCACTGTCTCCAGTATGTCCACACTGTCCTCGGAAAGCGGCGAGCCCACGGACACCTACACCACTCACGCAGATGGCCAGACGTTCATTCTTGATAAGCCGCCAGTGCCTCCAAAGCCAAAGCTCAAGTCCCAGCTCAGCAAGGGCCCGGTGACATTCAGGGACCCCCTGCTTAAGCAGTCATCTAGAGTATGATCATCAGCATCATGGACACATCCCAGCAGAAAACTGCTGGACTTATCATGGTCCATGCAACGAGTAATGGGGAGGCAGTGGGGCCCAGCCCAGAGCACAGTGTCCCCTCACCTAAGGGGGCATTGTCAGAGAGCCCGAAACCCATGTTGGCCGAAATAAAACGCGCTAAGTCCCCTGGTCCCGATGCTCCTTTGAGATCCACCCCACCTCCAGCCACAGCTCCAACTTCCCAGCCACCTCCCAGTGCATCCTCAGATAAAACCCTGGCACAGGGTAGTTCTGAGGAGGACGTGGAACCCTATACGGTCACATTGCCACCTGCCATGCTGTCTTCCAGTGATGAGGATACACGTGAGGAGCTCCGTAAAATCGGTGTGGTTCCTCCACCGAATGAATTTGCCAATGGCATTCTTGGAAAGACACCTAAAACTGCAGTACCTCATGCTCCTACGTTGGCACAGACAACCACTTCTGCCCTGCCCTCAGCTCCACCCCCACCCCCCGCCACTCCAGCAGCAGTTGCCGCAGCAGCACAGGTCCCCGCTAGCAGTGGCCCGCAAGCAGCCTCAGGGAAGCCATCTGAGTCCCACCTGGGCCCAGAGTCTGCTGCTGACTCCGGGGTGGAAGAGGTAGACACTCGTAGCTCCAGTGATCACCACTTGGAGACCACGAGCACCATCTCCACCGTCTCCAGTATGTCCACACTGTCCTCGGAAAGCGGCGAGCCCACGGACACCTACACCACCCACGCAGATGGCCAGACGTTCATTCTTGATAAGCCGCCAGTGCCTCCAAAGCCAAAGCTCAAGTCCCAGCTCAGCAAGGGCCCGGTGACGTTCAGGGACCCCCTGCTCAAGCAGTCATCCGATAGCGAACTGCTCTCACAGCAGCACGCGGCTGCGCTGGCTGCTGCTGCGGGAGCCTCAGGCCCGGCCAGACCCCGCTACCTCTTCCAGAGACGCTCCAAGTTGTGGGGGGACCCCGTGGAACCCCGTCCGCTTTCGGGGGCAGAGGAAGGCAAGCCCACTGTGATCAGCGAGCTCAGCTCACGGCTGCAGCAGCTGAACAAGGACACACGCTCACTCGGGGAAGAGCCGCTTGGAGCTTCACTTGACCCCGGAAGGAAATCACCCGTGGTCGGTGCAAGGTAAGGTGTGAATCCTGGAGAAGACCAAATGCAAATCAACTTTGCAACCAAATCAAAACTTTGACCGTTTCTAAAGCAACATTGTAAAGAGAATTCAGAGGTTGGTTGTTTGTACTGCAAACGTTTCCTATTAGTTAAATGGCAGTGAGAACACTGCAATTATTTTCCCGTATCTGAATAACATTGTTTAATCGAAACTGATGGTTTGTGTTTAGTAATATCAAATAAAATTAACATAAACAATATATTAAACATCCTCATGAAAATGGTATCTCAAAAAATACCAAAGAACATCACCTGTGTCTGTCCAGAGTTTCACAAGATTTAAAGAGCAGTATTCTTTAACTTTTATTTAAAAGAAAGCTAATCCAGAACCTTAAAATTTCTTACTCATTAAGAAGCATTAAGTGTTAATGTTTAACATGCTTTCTTCATTGAGACGTTTGGAGCCCCAGAACTATCTCAGCATTGGACGACCACTGGTGAGTAACGTAGAACGGCCTCAGGCTGATCTTACAGCTCTACCATATAAGCTGTAGACAATAGTTAGAATGATATAGACTTTTCTGTAGATGCACCAATAACCAGAGCTACAGGGACAGTTTGAGTTAAAATAATTAATTGGAATAAATAATGTTTTATATAAAAGCTCAAGAGGCAATGTTTTTCTGTCTTGATTTTTTAAAGCACCAGCTACAGTATATACTATTTTGCTTATATCCTCAAATACAGCTGAAGTCCTTTATATCCCAACAGATGTGACAAGGACATGGAAGACAGTAAACCTTAGCTTTAGCAACTAGGGTAAATCAAATGTCATTCATTTTATTTTCTATTCTTTAACATCCACTAATCCCATATTCAGTCACTTTTGCTGACATTGTTCTGGGTTTTATTAATCACTTCTGCAGGTTCTGTGTTCCCTTGTCCACCCTGGCAAATCAACCAAAATCTGTTTTGGTCATCGGTTATGACACCTTTTTCAGTTTACATGAAGTGACTTGAAAAAACATTCTTGATGACATGCAGTAGGGTGACTACATTATGACATTAATTAAATTTTATGCATGAAGCACTTCTTTAAGTCCCTCTGTCTTGCCATTGGGGTGTTCACAAGGTAACAGATGGCCTGAGGGCATGCACCATCTCAAGCTTTGACCTTTCACCTTCCAAACTCTGTTACATCTAACTCAGTGAGCTTATCCCCTGTGGCCTGCTTCTCTACGGCACTGCGCTAGCAGTATGTATGTGGGTCCATGTGTGACTGATGTTTTTTTTTTCTTGCAACATCATATGATATGAATGTGTTTGACCCATGTTAAGCTACGTTACTTCTTAAAATCGTTTGTCTAACCCTCAATAAAATTCTTTTAAAACTGGATTCTATTTAAATTAATTATACCAGCTGAAAGTTGTCATTTCTCATTGGATAATCCAACATAAAACCAACATAATCATCGCAGTGTCATCATAATAATAATATTTCATTCCTCTCAGTCTGTGTTGTCGTTCTTTTTATTTCTCTCCATTCAAACATGCTGTCCAAGCTTACTGTGCTCGCTAAGTGTTTCATTTCTGTAGTTTTGTGACACTTTCATCCTTTAATCATGCTAACACAGTGATCGCTCCGGCTTCATCTTAGAAAAATGGTTGCACATGTAGTATTATGCATTGTTTATTTTTCATGCATATTTGTTAATTTTGCTAAATTTGTGTTTCATTTGACCAGAATGGCACCTTACCCCAGACAGATGTAATGAAAGAAATGCTATATTTAATTCCACATCATCATTAATAAATGATGTCTATATGTGCACGTTCCACTATTGAAAGCTGACGTCTGGGGCTAGCTGCGCTCTGGTCTGTGTCGCTACGTTTGGTTTGCATTCAATTGACATTGTTGAGGATGTGAAGTGTGTGGTGTTTGTTTTTGTTCTGTCATGGACTGATGCTAACCAACCGCTCTCTCTCTCCCATTGCCCCTCACTCTCTCTCTCTTTTTTTCCATCTCCCTCTCTCCCTCTTTCTCTCACTCTCTCTCTCTCTTTGCATGCTACGCTGCTCTGTCTAGAGCTGAATCTGAGGCTAAGCCCAGAAGAGCCGGGCACCTGTGTAAGTGCGCATGAATCATTTCATCTCTCTTTTTTCTTTTTTTTTTCTGTTTCCACACCCCTGAGTCAAGCCCTGATCATCATCCACCATTCCTCATCTACTGACACACCTAATGCTAATTTGGTCAGGCCTCTCTCAACCCCAGCTTTTCCTTGTTTTTCATTGGCTGCTTAATTCTCCTCACACTCTAAAAAATGCTGGGTTAAATGGGACAAACCCAGCTATTGGGTTGTTTTGACCCAGCGGTTGGGTTGTTTTGAACCCAACCGCTGGGTCAAAACAACCAAATAGCTGGGTTTGTCCCTTTTTAACCCAGTGCTGGGTTTACAAAGGCAAAAGGATTTGATCAATTTAAGTATAGGACATTAGTTTTCGTTTAGATTTTTCATAGACTGCTTTTACAGACATGTTAGGCAATGATCAGAGCTTGCACCTATATTGCTAAATAAGTTTTGTTCTCTTCACCCAGGGTGCACAAGTATGGCTGAATGGCTAGCCACGTAAAAACAAAATATAACTGCACTTTCACTTAAGCTTCTTTTATTATTACTCTTTTGGCGAGTAAAAAATTCAAATTATGAATACTATATTATTATACATATATATAAAAAATATATTACATTAAGTAATTTGAATGTTGAGATGTTATGCATGTCTACACATCTGTCTTCTGTTATTTCTCATGTGTTGCATGGTAGCGCTTTCAGTGTTCTGCTGTAGTGCTCATAAAATCGGTGTAAATCTGTCCATGTTTACATTTCATTCAGATTGCAATCAAACTCACGTAACACCTCAGTCATTACCATTGATTGTAAACGGAGTAATTACTTCTGATCTTCGTTTCATTGCTCACAGAGGCAAGTTTTAAGTGGAGAGCGAGTTTCTTCTGCCTAGTACAGTTGTAGCATGCAGAAATAAAGTTGATTAACACTTCAACTTTATACACTGCTTTTAAAACAATCTTTACGAACTTAATAAATTAATGAATTTAGTGTCAAAAGCTGAAATTAAAAATTAAATTTAATATAGATATGCATCTGGTCAGTTGCTGTGCATTTAGTGTGTTTCTTTTGAACTAAATTGCATTTAAAAATACATAATCTTAAATTATTTAAATGAAGCTTTTTGTCAAATTTTCTTAAAATATCTAAACATCTTTGATACAAGAAAAATTTACTTGAGAAGCAACACAGCATAAAATGTCTTACAGCACTGGATATTTTAGTAACACTTTACAATAAGGTCCCATTAGTTAACATTGGTTAATGCATTAACTAACAATGAGCAATACATTTGTTACAGTATTTATTAATCTTTGTTAATGTTACAACTGTTCATTGTTAGTTCAATTTAGGCTTAGGTCCATTAAATAATATTAACAGATACAACTTTAAAATTTTTATAATGTATTAGTGCTGAAATTAACATAAATACCTCAAATTAAAAAATGATTTAGAAGTTTAGATGTTTGTGTTAACAAATGTAGTTAACTAATGTTCACAAATGAAATGTTATTGTAAATTGTTACCAGTATTTTTACTTAATTTTACCTTGTTAATACTAAAAAATAAATCTGGCAGTGCAGTAAGAGAAAATACATTTATATTCAAGACACAATGAATGAAAACAAGTTTTAATATTATATGTGGTTTGCTTCACAATAAGTTTAGGAATTTTTAGATATTTTCACTAGAACGTTTTTATATTGTAAATAGGGTGAATTTTGATGTCATGTTGACCAAGGAAAACTTTACATTTTAGTTGTATGACTGAACTATATAAATTAAAAACTCTTGGGGAAAAAATCTAATTTAAGATCCTCCTTGATTTTATGATGTATTCTTTATCTTTGCTCCACAGCACTTCTACTATTATGGCTAAACGCATTAATTAAGCATCTCACTAACACGAGTTGAATGAGTTTGCCTCAAAGAGTGCAGAGTCCTAACATAGCTGATGCTTTCACTAAAACTGGGCGAGAAAGAGCCACTGAATCTGCTGTTTCTCACAAAAAAAAAAAAGTTGACTTTCATTCTCTGTCTCCTTCCTTTTCTCTTTTCTTCTGTTCCCTACTTCCAGACTCTTCAGCAGTTTGGGGGAGCTCCATACTATCTCTCAGAGAGGCTACGGCACCACCTACACCATCAGACCAGGCAGCCGCTACCCAGTGACCCGACGGACACCCAGTCCCGGTTCCCCGGACCGCTCGGATCCTCTGGGACCCATCCGGGGCTTCGGCCTGGCCACTTCTCCCATCACACCCCCCACCATCCTTAAGTCGTCTAGCCTCAGTCTCCCTCACGAACCTAAAGAAGTGCGTTTTGTCATGAGGAGCTCCAGTGCGCGGAGTCGTTCTCCCTCGCCCGCCCCCTCCCCGGGCATGCCCTCCCCCCTG